AAAATTAACTGAATACAGCAATGTTAGTTAAATGCAGTAACATTAGCTGATCGCAGTAAAATTAGCTGATAAGAGTAATGCTAACTGATTGCAGTAACATTAGCTGATCACACTAAAATTAACTGAATACAGCAATGTTAGTTAAATGTAGTAACATTAGCTGATCGCAGTAAAATTAGCTGATAAGAGTAATGCTAACTGATTGCAGTAACATTAGCTGATCACACTAAAATTAACTGAATACAGCAATGTTAGTTAAATGCAGTAACATTAACTGATCGCAGTAATGTTAAACAAACATAGTAACGTTATCTGATCACAGTAATGCTAGTTGGTTCCAGTAACGTCAGCTAATCACAGTAACATTTGCTGATCATTGTAACGTTAACTGATCACAATTATTTTAGCTGATCCTAAGAACTTTAGCTGATCGCAGTAAGGTGAGGTAAACACAGTAACATTTGCTGATTGTAGTAACATTAACTGATCGCAATTATTTTAGCTGATCCCAATAACTTTAGCTGATCGCAGTAAAGTCAGGTAATCACAGTAACCTGTGCTGATCATTGTAACATTAACTGATCGCAATTATTTTAGCTGATCCTAAGAACTTTAGCTGATCACAGTAAGGTGAGGTAATCACAGTAACATTTGCTGATCTAAGTAACGTTAACTGATCACAATTATTTTAACTGATCCTAATAACTTTAGCTGATCGCAGTAAGGTGAGGTAATCACAGTAACATTTGCTGATCGTAGTAACGTTAACTGATCACAATTATTTTAGCTGATCCTAAGAACTTTAGCTGATCGCAGTAAGGTGAGGTAATCACAGTAACATTTGCTGGTCGAAGTAACGTTAACTGATCACAATTATTTTAACTGATCCTAAGAACTTTAGCTGATCGCAGTAAGGTCAGGTAATCACAGTAACATTTGCTGATCGTAGTAACGTTAACTGATCACAATTATTTTAGCTGATCCTAAGAACTTTAGCTGATCGCAGTAAGGTGAGGTAATCACAATAACATTTGCTGGTTGAAGTAACATTAACTGATCACAATTATTTTAGCTGATCCTTGTAATACCATCTGAACGCAGTAACCTTAGCTGATCACAGTAAGGTTAGCTAATCGCAGTAATGTAAACTGATCGCATTAACTTTATCTGATCCTAATAACTTTAGCTGATCGCAGTAAGGTCAGGTAATCACAGTAACCTTTGCTGATCATTGTAACGTTAACTGATCGCAATTATTTTAGCTGATCCTAAGAACTTTAGCTGATCGCAGTAAGGTCAGGTAATCACAGTTACCCTTGCTGGTCGTAGTAACGTTAACTGATCGCAATTATTTTAGCTGATCATCGTAACACCATCAGAAGCCAATCACAGTAAGGTTAGCTAATCGCAGTAATGTAAACTGATCGCATTAACTTTATCTGATCCTAATAACTTTAGCTGATCGCAGTAAGGTCAGGTAATCACA